TATCATGAACAAAAGGCTGAAGATAAATAAAAATTGTCATTTATTTGGTTTTGGATAATTACGAGAACTGCGAAGCCTTTTGCGTCCAGATCATAATAAAAGATCGGCGCATAATTGAGTATGCCATTGTAAGTCAAGTTGAGTTTTTATATTTTTTCCTTAACTTTTGTTGTAAAAACCTGAAACTTGATTTTACTACGTAAAAGGAACCGGATTCCGATGGAATTACCATTACTGTGTAAAGGGGAATCACTAACAGAGTACAACATTTCGGTACGTGATTTTTATTTAAACACACTTTATGTTGTCGGCAATTGGCCTATCATCCTTAATGCTATTATATATATAATTAACGCACTATAGAGTATTTCACAAAGCACCAAAATGATTATAATAACAATAATCTTTGTCTTAAAAATGTGCTCTTAAAATATAATGTCTGGAATCTCCTATGAAGTGTAACATGTGTCAGTAGGAGCCGCTCTTTTTTAGCAACACGATTTTTATTATACATAATAAACCGACTTAACCGAACAAAAAATAAATTACTAAATCATTAAAACATTCTATTGTTTCGATTATGCCTGTAGACAAAAAGTTGTGAAACGACAACGAACTATTATTATAAGAATTAATTAAATCTGTTTTCAAGAAAAACACTAAGTATGATACCGTCTCGAGAGACCAAGATCCTGCTCCTGATCGATTGGGACATAACAATCTTGAGCCTTAGCTTAAGCGGAAATTGTCAAAAAGCGGAAAGACATTCGAAGTTAGTCCCGGCGCCCATTGACGAGACGGCATATCAAGGGATCCTTCGGCATCCATGCATGCGAAACCATACGCGACGTAGCGCTCGTGCCTAGACTCTATTCACATCAGTCGTAACGTTAAAAATAAAAGCCAGGTGAAGCATTCCGGTTGCCGAGGCATTCATAGGCTGCCGGCTCGGTATCTCTAAGCTCACTGCAACTTTGTTTTCGCAGTTACGACCATTGTCATTGAAATGTCATAACATTAAGATATAGTACAATTCTTCGTTTCGGAGCTACGATGCCACAAACAGACATATAGACACAAGTACGCGGACACAAGCTTAAAACTTAAAACTCCCCTCTGCTTGCAAAGGGGGTTAAAAAACCATATAACAAAAAACATTGTAGCCAACTGTTGCGAAATTACGACAGTAAAATTACAAAATCCAAATCTTAATGTTTTTCTAATGGCTAATTTACAAATAACGCAATCAGTAATCTCTATCAAACTCGTTCATAATGACATGATTACTTAATTACGTAATTTTTTAACATTGCGGGTTTTCTAATTCCATAAATCGTCAGCCTTCTAATTTTTCGAATATTTCTTATATCCAAATGCAGCGCTATAAATGTCGATTATCCCGATTTTTAACCAAGACGTAAGCACCTTAAAATGCTGCTGTAATTCAGAACATTTTTTGGAAATACTTAAAAAAAACATCGGACTATGTAACACAATAAATTTCTTATATTACTTTAAAGTAGTTCCTACATTTGTCGCTAGATAGCATTGATCCGAAAAAAGGCGATTTCTGCTCTGACTGGGGGTGTTAAAATTTTCTCAAACTTATTACAAATTAATACAACCAAAAATATAAATGAATTATTATAAACTTCTTTCGTCGAAAGCATGGTCCCGCGCCCATTATTGGAGGAGATACCGCGCAAGAACGCCTCGTGTGAATTCTTTTTGTAATCGTAGTCTACACCGCAACCGCAAACCAAATTTCAATGTGACACGTGCCAAGTTTGGTAGCAATTAATTACGCACCGCCAAGTTTCTCTATTTCATTTAAAATGGTACTTTATCGAATTGGTCGTTTGATTCCTGGACTTGGTAAAGGATTAGGTACCAGGTAACCGAGCAAACTTTTACTTACTTTACCCCTACCATGTACTACAGCTATTGTAATCTTGTAATCTTATCTTCATCTGCGTAATTCAATATAATATGACTGGAAAGTTGTTTTCTTTTGTGAATCTCCACTGCACCATGTGAGAAAAGTTACCTCACTTGATTGAAAGTATTGTATTCCACATTTAATGATATTTCGAATATATTATAAATCACAGTCTAGCTCTACGAAATGGATAAAAACATGGACGGGTGATACTTGAGCCTCAACATAGGCAACAAGAAGGTGTTGTCACTCACAAATAATCTTGATAATTTGATTGACATCTTCCTCAATTATGAAGCGACAAACCGTCAAGCAATTACTTTAAATATGCTAACAAACTGTGCCGCAACATCCCTAATGCGACAAGACGTGGATGCTAAGACGTCAATAGTTTACTTCCACTCGACTACGCTGAAGCTACGGGCGGTCAAAATATCTTATTAAATGAGCCCGTGATAATGTGTCAAAGACAAATCTAATTTGCATGTGGAAACACTGAGATTCGCTCATAAAATAAAGAAAAATAAACGTACTTCAATTAAAACCTCATTGTATATAGTAATACAAACATTATATAATGTTAATCAAACATTGTGCACCCCCATTGATCTATGTGCACCCCGGACCATTGGGATTGGGCGGGCCATGTTACTCGGGTGCAACCCGAGAAGTGGGCGAACGTCATCGCTCCTTGGGTGCCTGGAATGCAACCCATCCTTGGATGGAAGGCGATGGCGGATATGGACAAGACGTGGTGGGACAATCTTGATGGGTTTGAGAGGGAGTGGTGGGAGATCGCCAAAGACAGGAAGAACTGGAGGTTCATAAAAAAAAGGTTTTAACTGAATCACGAATATTTTGTAACAATAACACGTTACTTGAACACAGATTTGAAAGGAAGAGAGCAAAGCTCAGTGTTGCCACATAAAAACCTTTTTTTGTTTAAAGCAAAGGATCTACGATGCGCGATTGAACGAATTCGCTCTGAAGCCCGGAAACGCAGTTGCAGGTAGGGAATTCCATTCCTGGGCTGTGCGCATAAAAGATGATGAAAAGCTCTTAGTACGCCTGAAGGGAATATCGACCAAGTAAGGATGATATCCCGCTGTACGTTGAATGTCCGAC